ACAAACATAGACAATATTCTAAAAGATAAATCACATTTATGTGATTATATAAAAATTTTATTTATTTTTCTAAAAGTCTGCTTTCTATATGTTACTTTTTTCAGAAAATAATATTTCTGATAAAACTTAGTGTTTAATTAAACCGTAAACTTTATTTATTCAAAAATTTCTGTATTATAAATATAAATTTGGTTGCACAGTGAACTAGGTACTCTTCTAGGAACCGAACCCACGTTCTTACATATAAGATTAATTTAAGAAGATATATATAACTCTACATAGTAGTTTTTTAGTTAATACAATTAATATAGATTATTATTTAACCTTTTAACCTAATTTAAAAAGGGGGAGGTTCTCAATTCGTCTGTATATTTTTTATGTATGTTCAGCGATAATTCTTTAACACAGTCCGATTTAAATGATTCTTATTTGCTGGAAAGGGGGTACTTCCGGGATGGTCTCATATAAATTTGGTCAAAATCTAATAATTGGGTCCATGAGAAAATCCTCAAACTTTTTATTTTTTATGTATGTTCAGCGATAATTCTTTACCACCTTGTCCGATTTCTATAATTCTTTTCGTTAGTAAGGGAGTACCTCAGGGGTGGTCCCTTATAAATTTGGTTAAGATGTGGTGATGGCATCTGCACAATTTTAAAGTCGGTTTTTTAAAATTACTTTTATTACTTGTTACGTAAATTAAAATTTTAATAATTTGGTGCTTTCTTGATGCGTCGTTTTATGATTTCACTTTGTATATGTTTAAGTACAGATAATTATTATTACTGGCAATTTATTTTAAATCATTAAAATAATATTTTGTTAATCCAAAAAAGGCAAACAAAAAAGCCATGTCACATTCAGTGTAATATTAAAAATTAGATATATAAATATAGTATATTATGTACCAACAGACTAAACTTTCACTTTCAATCCCGCCTTTTTGTCGTAAAAGACTTCTAAATTTTTACCAGTTACGTCCGTACTAGGTTTGAACTGAATATTTTTGAACAAAAATATAATACGCCACTGCTTTTTCCAAAAACCAAAATTATCTTTAAAATCCTTATTTATTTTGGAGCAAATTTGGTTTTTAGACGTACTTTCGTACGACGCACCCTTTTCGCGTAAGAAAATAAAAACCAGTTTATTGAAACTGCTTTTGATATTTTGTTGAAATTTGGTAGGAACCCACCATGAGTGGAAACACTTTTTTTTGGGGCAAAATTCCATAAAAATATCTAGAGTGATAAGAAACTTATGATAAAATAGTTATTTTTTTCTTAAAACTTTAACACCCAAGGATTCACACCCGTAAGTATCGGCACTCAATTAATAAATACCCTGTATTAATTGATCCTATTACCTTATTCGAACCAATCGTCTATTTTTCCGTTATTTGTATTTATATTTCACACCTCTTTACTCCTAAATGTAATTTAATCTAACTAAGTCTATTCACTAAATTAAAATATAAAAATAATGTAAAACCCTCTAAAAAATCGAACTGCGTTATAACAATATCTCGCAATGCACCGAGAAAAACAAATACGATTCTGGTTCCCCTAATTTAGGTAACTCTGACTCATTCAAGAAATGATGAAGGTCGGTAGCCGTGTTGATTTTTCGGTTCCTATATGTTCCAACTTCGCGTTCGAGTTTGGAATACGTATCCCTCGTATCTACATGCAATTGTTAAAATTAAGAATGAATGCGGATTTTGTTTAGTCTCGGAAGTAATTTTGTAGTATTTAGGCTCCACCCTTAAGTTGTAATTTTTATACCTACTAAACTACCGTTGCCCCGCAGGTCTTTTAGTTTGTAATGTAAATTTTCCTCTTAATCTAAAACACTATGTCAAAATATTTAATATAATATATTTTTCTTGAAAATATACAGGGTGATTCACATAAGAACCGACATAGAGCAGGGGCATATAGGGGGTCCCAAAATATGGCAATTTAACGCAACTTACCTCTATACCAAGTTGCTTCCCTAAGGAGTTATAGGCTTTGAAAGTGAAGTTATAAATTTTGAAAAAAATCAATATCTCCGTTATTCTTGAACTTAAAGCAACCACATTTGGTACACTTTGTGGATGTATTTAGGGCGTTACTTGACAGTAACTAGAGTTTAATTGAAATTTGTAAAGGGGGTATACTGGGTGGCGCACCATTAATATTCAACAGAATTTTGTTAACCCTTGATGGATTTTAAAAATCTTTGCTTTGTTTTGTGGGCAATTCAATTCTTAAACTTTTCTTACTTTAGTAATTTTTCGAAAAAACTCATAATTTTCATCAAAAACTCGAATAACTTAAAACGCGCGCTCTAGGTGTGTTATTTAAAATCATCGAAAATTCAAAAGTTGGCTATGAAAATAAACGTCAAACTTGACAATGAAGCAAGTAAGTTGTTCAATTAAGTAATTGTTGTTTGAGTGTTTTTAAAATGAACGGGAAGTTTTCTTTTAACGAGCAAGTTGACATGCTGTTAGTGCTAGGTTTTTGTGAAGGAAACTGTAGAAGAAGTGTAGAAGAATATCGTAGAAGATTTCCTAACCGTATCATTCCCCATAGAGAAACATTTTCTAATGTTGAAAGACGAGCTAGAGAAACAAGCAAGTTTCTCAATAATACTCGAGAACGTGCTGTCGCACTCAGGCCACAAGTTGAGGTAGCCATTTTAAATGCTATTCAAGATGATCCACATATTAGTACTAGGAATTTATCTCGACAAATTGGTATATCGCAGAGTTCTGTGCATCGAGTTATCCGTCGCAATCTACTACACCCTTATCATGTACAAAAAGTCCAAGAACTTTTACCCGGAGATTTGGTTCAACGTGTCAATTTTTGTCAGTTTATTCTACACCAAGATAATAACTTCCAAAAGAAAATTCTTTTTACGGATGAGGCGACTTTCACTCGCAGAGGTATCACAAATCTCCATAACTATCATGAGTATTCTGACGTAAACCCACATGCAATAACTCCTCGGCATTTCCAACGTGAATTCAAAATTAATGTTTGGATGGGAATTATTGATCGATATTTAATTGGTCCTGTTGTTTTACCGAATCGGCTGAATGGTGAAAATTATTTAGAATTTCTACAAAACACCCTTCCGTATCTACTTGACGAGGTACCTTTACAACTAAGGTTGCAACATTGGTTTATGCACGATGGAGCACCGCCTCATTTTAGTATGAACGTAAGAAATTTTTTAAACCACCAGTATCCCAATAGATGGATAGGAAGAGGAAATAATTGCCCACAACGTTGGCCCCCAAGATCACCTGACCTGAACAAATGTGACTTCTTTCTGTGGGGAACGTTGAAAGAATTTGTGTATTCTTCGCCCGTTGCGTCTCAAGAAGAATTATGGAATCGCATTATTCATAAATGCACATCTATTAGGAATAATCAACAGTTATTAGATAGGGTGGATTTTAATTTTCGAAGAAGAATAAATTTATGCGTAAGAGAAAACGGCGATCATTTTGAACAATTTCTTTAATTTATCGATAAACAATTGTTTGTTCTGGTTGTTGTTTAAGTTTTTTGTGTTTATTTTGGTTAGTTGTTAATCCCAGTTTTTCACATTTCAGTATCTGTACTTACTTTAAGTTATTTTGTTACGTATCTAAATAATAATTTGCCAGCCAATTCCTACTGATCACATTAAATGACCTACTTTCTTGTTTGACGTTTATTTTCATAGCCAACTTTTGAATTTTCGCTGATTTTAAATAACACACCTAGAGCGCGCGTTTTAAGTTATTCGAGTTTTTGATGAAAAATTACTAGAGTAAGAAAAGTTTAAGAATTGAATTTAAAATCCATCAAGGGTTAACAAAATTCTGTTGAATATTAATGGTGCGCCACCCAGTATACCCCCTTTACAAATTTAAATTAAACTCTAGTTACTGTCAAGTAACGCCCTAAATACATCCACAAAGTGTACCAAATTTGGTTGCTTTAAGTTCAAGAATAACGGAGATATTGATTTTTTTCAAAATTTATAACTTCACTTTCAAAGCCTATAACTCCTTAGGGAAGCAACTTGGTATAGAGGTAAGTTGCGTTAAATTGCCATATTTTGGGACCCCCTATATGCCCCTGCTCTATGTCGGTTCTTATGTGAATCACCCTGTATACTTATGTCAGTATATATTTTATTGTTTAACATTCATATATTTGGTACATATTAAGTTATATTTGGAAAACTAGTCATAGGATCTAATTTTACCAATAAGAATTTTGAACGAGTACATCGAGTACTATACGATATCAAATATTGAGAGACTTTGACGGTTATTTTTTTTTTTTTTTTCGGTATTTTTGCTATTTTTGTTCGGTGGGAATACCTACTTTGACCAAAAAAGATTTGCCGAATCATTATTCACCCTGTAAGGTACAATATTTTAATTATAGTAGTTAAGTATGTATTTTTGACTGCACAGAATGAGCAAAAAATATTTAAGGGTGATTTATGGTGTCCATTTTAAAGAACTAGGGATTTCTAACTTCAACACCCTGTATCACAAAATCTAGTCATAGGATACGATTGGGCCCATGGACACTTTTGATGGGAACATCAAGTTATTTAACATATCAAAAATTCAGACATTTTGACGGTACTCCCGTTTGCATAAGAAAAGTGCGTGGTCCTTTAAAGGAGTGAAGACATTGAAAATGAAGAGACTAGCTATTTAGAATTCCATGAGACTTTGAAATATTTTTACTAAAAAGAAAGGCATAAAGGGGCCTAATGACATTTTTTCAAAAACCAATATTTATCTTTCAAGGTAATATGTCAAAATGTCAATGTTTGTACAAAAGTACAAATAATTGCAAATAAATAGTTATTTTTAAAATTGCTGTTTTCTTGGTGTCCTGAACAATTTTGTATTTGGCGCTTGATCCCTTTTTGCTCTACATCAGCATTTGATCGTTTTTTAAGTAGTAATATTTTCTAAATTAACTTCTATCTTTTAGGAAATTATGATGTATAAAAGAGATTCAAAGAAAATTTGGTGGTTAGAAGAAGTAAAAAAAGTAACTGCACCAATTTTAGGAATTAAATGTGTTGATATGACTGGAGATGGTGTTAAAGATTTAGTTATTTTTTCAATGAAAGGAGTACAAGTATTGCAGGTGAGTTATTAACGTAATTTTGTGTGTGTGTGTTAAAATTGAATAAATGTGTTATAACATGTATTTTTATTTTAGCTCGAACATGATTTTCTTCAAAAAGTTTTGAACAAAAAAATTGAAAAGCTTACAGTACCTGATATTTCTCAATTGAAAATATAAATATTGACTTAAATAAGGACAACTTGATGTAATATATTTTATAAATAAATACAGGACACGTTTATTTGCTGTAACGTTTGTTTAATTTATTTATAGTTTATTTATTTAAAACACTTTATTTATAACGTACCAATCTATATATATATAAAATTGTTTGTCCTGACTGACTGACTGACTGACTGACTGACTGACTGACCTATCAGCGTACAGCCAAAACTACTGAGCCTAGAAAACTGAAATTTGGAACATAGGTTTATTTTATAACGTAAGCATCCGCTAAGAAAGGAGGGGGAGAGAGCTTTTAATGAAACTCTTTGTTCTTTAAAGTTAGAAACATGAAAATTTAAATTACAGCTACTGAGCATAAATAAATAATGACGTGTTTCAGGGTTTTTGGATTTTTTACATTTTAAGGGGGGAAACGGGGGGTGAAATTTTCTAAGGGACTAACGATTTTTTTGTTCTCTATGAAGTTAGAAACATAAAAATTGGAATTCCAGCTACTGACTACAAATTATTAATGACGTTTCAGAATTTTTGGATTTTCACATTCTAAGGGGGGAAATGGGGAGTGAAAATGTATTTGGGAGTATCCATGTTTTTGGTTCTCTTTAAAGTTAAAAACATGAAAATTGGAATTGCAGCTACTGAGTACAAATTAATAATATTATGTTTTAGGGTTTTTATATTTTTACATCTTAAGGGGGGCAAACGGGGGTAAAAGTTTGTATGGGAGTATAACTTTTTTTGTTCTCTTTGAAGTTAGAAACATGAAAATTGGAATTGCAGCTAATGAGTACAAATTAATAATGACGTGTTTTAGGGTTTTTGGATTTTCACATTTTAAGGAGGGGAAACGGAGGGTGAAAGTTTATTTGGAAATATCGATTTTTTAAAGGTAGGAACTTGAAAATTGGAATTGTAGGTTCTCATCATAAATAAATAATGAAGTGTTTCTTTGTTTTTGGATTTTCACGTTTTAAGGGGGGGGAAAACGGGTGAAAATTAATAAAAATTAATAAAAATTAATAAAAATTAATAAAAATTAATTAAAATAATAAAAATTAATAAAAATTAATAAAAATTAATAAAAATGAATAAAAATCATTAAAAATGAATAAAAATGGATAAAAATGAATAAAAATGATTTAAAATCAATAAAAATGAGTAAAAATGAATAAAAATGAATAAAAATGAATAAAAATGATTGAATAAAAATGAATAAAAATGAATAAAAATGAATAAAAATGAATAAAAATGAATAAAAATCAATAAAAATGAATAAAAATGAATAAAAATGAATAAAAATGGATAAAAATGAATAAAAATGATTTAAAATCAATAAAAATGAGTAAAAATGAATAAAAATGAATAAAAATGAATAAAAATGAATAAAAATGAATAAAAATGAATAAAAATGAATAAAAATGAATAAAAATGAATAAAAATTAATAAAAATGAATAAAAATTAATAAAAATTAATAAAAATTAATAAAAATTAATAAAAATTAATAAAAATTAATAAAAATTAATAAAAATTAATAAAAATTAATAAAAATGAATAAAAATGAATAAAAATGAATAAAAATGAATAAAAATGAGTGAAAATGAATAAAAATTAATAAAAATGAATAAAAATGATTAAAAATGAATAAAAATGAATAAAAATGAATAAAAATCAATAAAAATTAATAAAAATGAATAAAAATGATTTAAAATCAATAAAGATAAATAAAAATGAGTAAAAATGAATAAAAATGAATAAAAATCAATAAAAATCAATAAAAATGAATAAAAATGAATAAAAATCAATAAAAATCAATAAAAATGAATAAAAATGAATAAAAATTAATAAAAATTAATAAATATAAAATAATTAAAAAAAATTAATGAAAATCAATCAAATTAATTAAAAAAGCCATGTATTTTTTTATATTAATAACACGACTCTATGCGATCAAAGTCGCGAGCAAAGCCGCGGGCATTAGCTAGTTAATTTATATAATACTTTTTTATCTTTTCTATACAGCAGTTAAATTGAAACTTCTTGTCCGTCGACAAACTCGCGCTATTTATATAAAGCCAGCTCTGTGCCAGAACGATCGAAAACTACCTTTCTATGACTCATACGCCGCAAAGGGATGACTCCGGTAGCTTCTCGAAGCAAGCGGTAGACTGCATTCCGCGGGCAAGGAGTAAATAAAGTACAGAGACGGCTCCGCGTCGCAGTAATTAGTAATAGAGTAACAAATATATGTACTTGAAAAAAGTGCCCCTAAAATTCAGGTACCTTTACTCGGAATACTGTACTCGACAGGATATGCAATAAGTAAGGTATTCGGTACTCTGTACTTGTTCATTTACTATGAAAAGTACCCGGTACTGAAGTACAATTATTTATCAGTACCCGGCCCAGCTCTGCCTGAGACTTCGTTGATGTTCAGATTTGTCAGAATGTTCCTAACTTTTTTTGAAATTAAATAAAATGTAATAATTTAGCATTGAGTTAAGAACAGTGGGATGGAGGATATCTGAGGATTTTTTTTAAGAAATCTATATATATAAAATTGTTTGTCCTGACTGACTGACTGACTGACCTATCAGCTTACAGCCAAAACTACTGAGCCTAGAAAACTGAAATTTGGAACATAGGTTTATTTTATAACGTAAGCATCCGCTAAGAAAGGATTTTTGGAAATTTTAACTTTAAAGGGGGGAAATGGGAGGAAATAGGCAGAGGGAGCTTTTACTGAAACTCTTTGTTCTTTAAAGTTAGAAACATGAAAATTTAAATTACAACTACTGAGCATAAATAAATAATGACATGTTTAAGGGTTTTTGGATTTTTTACATTTTAAGGGAGGGAAACGGGGGGGTTAAAGTTGGTAAGGGACTATCGATTTTTTTGTACTCTATTAAGTTAGAAACATGAAAATTGGAATTGCAGCTACTGACTACAAATTATTAATGACGTGTTTCAGGGTTTTTGGATTTTTACATTTTAAGGGGGTAATGGGGGGTGAAAATTTATTTGGAAGTATCCATGTTTTTGGTTCTCTTTAAAGTTAAAAACATGAAAATTGGAATTGCAGCTACTGAGTACAAATTAATAATAACGTGTTTGAGGGTTTTTGGATTTTCACATTTTAAGGGGGGGATCGGATGAGTGAAAGTTTATTTGGAAATATCGATTTTTTTAAAGGTGGGAACTTGAAAATTGGAATTGTAGGTTCTCATCATAAATAAATAATGAATTGTTTCGTGGTTTTTGGATTTTCACATTTTAAGGGGGAAAACGTTGGTGAAAATTAATAAAAATTAATAAAAAATAAAAATTAATAAAAAAATTTAAAAATTAATAAAAATTAATACAAATTAATAAAAATTAATAAAAATAAATTAAATTTAATAAAAATTAATAAAAAAGAATAAAAATGAATTAAAATGAATTAAAATGAATTAAAATGAATTAAAATGAATAAAAATGAATAAACATGAATAAAAATGAATACAAATGAATAAAAATTAATACAAATGAATAAAAATTAATACAAATGAATAAAAATTTAAAAAAAATGAATAAATATGAATTAATATAAAAAAATGAATGAAAATCAATAAAACTAATAAAAAAGGAATAACACGACAATGTGCGAGCAAAGTCGCCAGCAAAGCCGCGGGCAATAGCTAGTGTATTATATATTTTAACATAAATCTATTTATTTTATTTATAATTAGAATAGATATGTATATAAAAAACTAATATATTATGTTCTTATTTTTATTATCTGATTCGTCATTTATTAATTAAATAATGTACTTAGGTTTTACCAATTTATTTACTATAATTTACAAAATTATAATAAGCCTTGATGTACTAAACATTGAACCATTATCTAAATTAGTAAGATATATTTCGTAGCACTTGAAAGTAATGATATCATAATTTAAAGCAATATCATTAATTCGGGATATTTTATTAGCTAATTCAATTATGTATGTTTGTAATATTGAGGCATGTATGGCATGCGACATAAAGTCAATTTACCACATAATTTTTAAAAAGTTAATTCAAATATATACATACCTACATAGTAAACATGGAAATTTACATAATTAAGAAAAAATATACTAATAAAGATACTTGTCTTTTAAAGTTATTTTGCAATATCGCTGCACTATTGGGAATTACACCATGGACTTTGAAAAACAAGTTTTTACAAACAATGTACATCATTTTGTACCTAACTTTTCTTTTAATCATTTTCTTACATCATTCTTCTTATACTACAGATAACTCTATGGCATTCATATTTTTATTAACGGAAAGTATGATGTTTATTCTACATTTGATTAGCCTATATGCACTTATAATAAAAAAGCTCGTTTGGAAAAGATTTATCATGAGTATATATTCAATTGACAAAGAAATAGGTGTAATTCAGATTTCTACTGTTACTATTATCATAAGTTTAATTATTAATAAGTTTGTTCTTGATGTAATAATGGTCATTGTAATAATTTACTCAATATTAATAGAAATAGAGTCGAATTTATTACAAATAACATTTGCAGCTCTAACATTTCAAAAAATAATCTTCATAGATGTTCTAATTTTACACATTCTAAATATTATATATAAAAGATTAGAGGTTCTGAACAAAAAGTTATTATTTTTACCAGAAAAACTACACATTAATGATATTTTAACTGACATTGAATTTATAATAAAAAATTCGAAGAAAATTTATTTTATAGTAGAAAATTTTAATAAATATTTTGGTAACTTAATACTTGCTCGTATGTCTATATTTGTTTTAGAACTTTTAGGAGTTTGTCAGTGTGTTATTAATTTAATTTACCAAGAAGAACCTATCGACAATGTAGTTATTTGCAGCATTATTTATGTGATGATTGATTTTGTAAGTACCATTGTTGTATTATAGTATTTTTGTAAGTACCATTGTTGTATTAGCTTTCAGCTATAATAATAGTTGCAACCAGCAAAAAATATTAAACATAATAACTGGCATAAGCAATTCATAATTTCTTAAAGTAATTTTGAAAAACCTTCTGTGCGTTTTAGAGCCTTATGTTAAGACAATTTCGAATTATAACCAGAAACAATCCCTATAACATGATTCTTCCATTCTTTACCTTGATCATTAAGCAACTACGTGGATAAGACCGTGGATG